AACAGTTTTTTATTCATAATTTCATTCAATTGCACACAGCCAAATGTTATTTCCATACATATTTCACGCAAAAAATATCAAATTATGATAAAATCATTACGTCCATAACAGCAGTTGATAAAGAGGATCAAAATAATATACAAGCGCAGTTATAAGTATGATAGTCACAATAATGTTAACAACAACGTTGGTGTAATCAATTCGAAAGATTAGTGAAAACAATGGATAATAATGACACTATTTAACAATTTCAGTAATCAATGATGGTGATAACGATGATAAACCCATAATGAATCGAACAAACCATCATTCAAACGATAAATGGACACTGCAGTAGGCATGGATCACAGTAAAATTTAAATCTCAAAATATCAACCGCTTTTGAAAAGTAAAACTCCATAAGCACCTAACTCAAAACAAATATAATTCATAGGATCAGGTACAACGGAATAACCGAAGTCATCGGCTACAATACAGTGCCATCTTGGCATATACCTCTTGTCGAATTGCTCTCGAACATACGCTGCTATATCGCTCTTACTCTGATATCTGAAAAAGAAACTCATTCAGAAGAAAGTGTTCACTTCCAAGCAATTTCATTCATTCGAACCCATAAATCTTCTCTTATTGCCTTTGTTTATGTTATGAATCACTTAAATCGTTCGAATTCCGAATGTCGAATTTTTTTCGATAAAAATTTCTTGAAGAACAGAAATAAAATTCACACCAAAAACCCAACAAACGATTCAACAAAAAATTACGAACTCACTTAATAACAGCTATTTTAGCGCATGCAATGGCGTCTTCCTCCATATCAGGTGACATCCTCGAGACCGTTANGTGTTCACTTCCAAGCAATTTCATTCATTCGAACCCATAAATCTTCTCTTATTGCCTTTGTTTACGTTATGAATCACTTAAATCGTTTGAATTCCGAATGTCGAATTTTGTTCGATAAAAATTTCTTAAAAAACAGAAATAAAATTCACACCAAAAACCCAACAAATGATTCAGCAAAAAATTACGAACTCACTTAATAACGGCTATTTTAGCGCATGCAATGGCGTCTTCCTCCATATCAGGTGACATCCTCGAGACCGTTATCGCTACCCTCAACCTATCCGATTTCGATGGTGCTGCCCTATCTTTATGCTCTACTTTCTCGGGTTCTTGACCTTTATCTTCCTCATCCGCACTCATTTTTCAACTCAAATGATCTGGAAGTGATGGGCAAATGCAATACGGGATGAATTGACTCTAACTTATCCGAATGATATTTGCGTGGATTTGAATGGGTTCAATACGAAACAATACGGAATCAGCAACGATGCAGTAGCGGATGTTAATTGGAATTTTTGATAGTACGTTCTAATACTGTTGTAATTACTTTGTAATATTGATTAGGCTAATAGACAAGTGAATTGTTGATGATCGATTTTCGCAGAATCGGTATTCGAAATCTTTCGTTGTACGCGCTTTTTTAGCAGTAAGGCAACAGGTGATCACACACACAGTATTTGTACTATGGACGACTTGTTCACAATATGATTGAATCGATTTTCATTAGCACAACAATAACCAATCAGTGGTATAATATTGTGATGCCAACCAGCTAATTACCCAACGAATGCTGAAATATTTGAAAAATTTCATTAATTTATCGTTAGACAACAGTTCATTACGAGCGATGAAACGGAGTTTATTAATGAATGAATGAAGTCAATGTGAGAAATTCGAACACGATCAATCGTAAACAGTGCGAAACACATTCACAGAATTGAAATCCTTAGAGTGCTCGTACTTATCGCCGAATTCTGAGAAATTTCATGTGGTTGATGCGAAACAATCAATAAAACACAGTGTGTGGGTCACTAACGAACATCACTGCAGATNACCAGCTAATTACCCAACGAATGCTGAAATATTTGAAAAATTTCATTAATTTATCGTTAGACAACAGTTCATTACGAGCGATGAAACGGAGTTTATGAATAAATGAATGAAGTCAATGTGAGAAATTCGAACACGATCAATCGTAAACAGTGCGAAACACATTCACAGAATTGAAATCCTTAGAGTGCTCGCACTTAATCGCCGAATTCTGAGAAATTTCATGTGGTTGATGCGAAACAATCAACAAAACACAGTGTGTGGGTCACTAACGAACATCACTGCAGATCAATATGGTTATTGCTTGAAGCAGTCGTTGAGTTGGATAATTATTTTGTTGTTGGTGTTGCAAAATTTTGAGTGCGTCAACAAAAATCGAAAACAATTTGAATTGAACGAGCGCAATGGATATTCACGAAGAGAGCAGTACAACACTGCACTCTTGGTTCATTCGCTCGTCTCAACCAAAAACCGGAATAATTGACACTTATATTCAGAAAATGAGACAACAAAATGATCGATTGCAAATTATGCGTACACGCTCGTTTCTTGAATGCAAACTTCAATGGTTGGCTTTCGCCTCCTTGAGATGGCTTCGTCATCCTAATCATTTTCATCATTCTCTTTATTCTTATCATCCTTATCGCGCCCCTTATCAATATCCACCATATCCTTATCGTGCTCAATCAAACTCATAACTATTATCAATTGTATCATCAAAAACGCTCAGGAAGCAAGCGACAATAGTCAGAAACAAAATGAATTGGTGAAGGGAAATGAGGAGAGGCGAAAGATTCTAAGAATTCGAAGAGGGCAACGAAATATTTCATGACTGACTTCTCTTTGCTTATCGTTCCAAACACAAAATCATTGATCGTTGCAATTTTCCATTGTTTGACACAAATCAACAGAAATTATAGCAATACATAATCATTAGAATAGCTGAGCGCTTGAGATGTCGATGAAGGAAGCATGCCGAAGAGAAATGAATGCAAATATGAAAAATTATTGACGACTCGATTTGTGTGATGAGAAAATGCTCTTAAAAAGCATTTTTGCTTTTCCACTTCACGTCATTGCATCTTGTTTTTTTCACCTCATTTCAACTGGCGAGGCATCTTAAGCATCAAAATTTTTTTCTGAAAATGCCTGGCAAACTTCATTGGAACTATGAATTTTTCCGGTCCAAAACTTTATCAACTTTGTACAAATAATAAATTCAATTTTCAACCTTCATTCGTTTCTCTCGAAAAGTTGCAAATATTAGAGCAAAAAATTGAATCAATATGCTGAAGATTCATTATATTTTCAGTTGCTTCGCGGAAAGTTAGATCTCAGCAAGATCTTTTGCATAGATATTGGAGAACAGAAAACAAATGAAAATACATTTCGATTTACTCTCCTTTGTAGCTGAAATGATAGGGAGAGTACGAACGAGATGTGTACTTTCTAAGAGTGTAATGTGAAGCAATATTATTTGAGATAAGACAGAAAATTTTCAAAAACTTCAACTAGCAAATCATCATCTAATGTGTTGATATTTCACAAACAAATATTTCTACAAACGTTCAGCAAACAAAACCATTCACTGCGAAATCTTTATGTCATTTTTATTGTAACATTATCTGTGATGATGATGATGATGACTGTGAATAGGATGGCTCACAATTAAACGCAAGAAACACTGAAAAACTCAAGAGGTGTGCGGGTGTTCGGTCGGGTAAATGGATGATGAACTGAGGTACTCAAAGAATCTTAACGGAGATTTTTGCTCTCTGAACTAGAAAAGTTAAAGGACCAAATTAGAAATTTTGAGTGGATATCCACTTGTTATATTGCTCACTTATGTTTGCCCAGCAAATCATTAAACAAGAAAAAGTATTAGGTAAACATGATTAATTGTATATAGAACGTGTTTTGGGACAAAGTATTTTAAGGCAATATAATCGATTGCCTAAGGGAATTGATAAGTTAATACGAATTGTCACAGTATGAGGATATTAAGAGATACAGGCTATCAGATGATAAAAGAGATATCTGAAGAATATTTGCGCTTGCGNGGGACAAAGTATTTTAAGGCAATATAATCGATTGCCTAAGTGAATTGATAAGTTAATACGAATTGTCACAGTATGAGAATATTAAGAGATACAGGATATCAGATGATAAAAGAGATATCTGAAGAATATTTGCGCTTGCGGTTGGCTGAATGAAAGCGTATAGTAATTTCGATAAAGGCAGATCAAACGAATCGATTTTGTGAAAAAAATTATCATTTATCATCGGATCGTTGGTGGAGAAGAAGACTGAAGCGAAACGTAACAATCAGTAGATTGAGATTATCTCAGACGAGCAGCTAGAACCGACTAAGTGAGATAAGGATAAATGAGAGCTTTGAACGGATAAAAAATGTGAATTAATGAAATGCTATGAATAGTTCACCTATCAGTGCCAACGCCACAATGCGATCACCATCAATTATCAGTATGAGAATAGAACATTGAAGAAAACGCTGTTAGTTCAATCTACACGCAGCACTTGAGTGAAGAGAACAATCGAGTGAAGTGTTTGACAAACTGAAGTAAAAAAACAAAAAATTTTATGATGACTAATCATATTACTAGCACCACACAATCCTAGTAATATAATCATAATGAAAGATTGAAACTTGAAAAAGATAAAAATCAATATGGCAAATATTTAATCCATCAAACACACGACGAATATCAAACAATCACATTTATTTCCACAATGTTTTTGGAGTATTCTTATCGTAAGTTATTAAGCAATACAGCAATAAATTTATCGAGATCGCAATTGATTGAACTAACTGATCAAGTGAATCATAAACAGTAGGGAACATGTAATCAATAAGCTCATTTGCGTCATTATTACTCTGTATGACAAGGACGGATGAATAAGCAAACAAACCGTGATAATGGCATATAATAATGAGGATATCAATAATCCATATCCGACATCTCGCTAGGCCCCTTGAGATTCCAATCCATTCGTCTGTTTTATGAATATAAATCTCATTTTTTGTCATCCTATATTATAAATCGCTTCATATCAATCATAATACAATTTCGTATCCATAAGCTCTCAATATCAAATGACTTTAATGTCAAGTACTAATTTATTGTACGATTGTGCTTAAGTCTTAAGCCTTAAGATCATTTAGCTGCATAAATGACAAGCGAATTAGAGCTAG